CCTTGAAGTAACTCATGACACTTGTAGTTAGTGGTGACACTACTCGATACCTGGTGCTAATCAGATGTCGTGCAACTGCTGCTCAGTGTCTTGTTAGTACTCCGGCTGCCTTCTAGAAACTCCTCTTATGTTTCACGTATTATGGCAGAAATACGTTATGAACTATACTAAATTAGTGTTTAGATTCAGCCGCATAATGTGAGCATTCATAAGTACTGTTCGATATTTGTTTCTCCAGTGAGATGAAGTTAAAATTGGGCTACATCTAATAACTTTTATTCTTCTGATTGCAAGAGGTTGACAAGATATCGACTAAATAAAACAGACCTGGTGTATTTGGTCGCATGTGTTGTTGTTGCATTGTCCAAAGAAATTATTAATTTGGTTGAGTTGATGAATCCTTCTCCAGAATGGATATAGACCATAAGGAAAAGCTTCGAATCCACTGACGCTTGATACTCATTAGGTGTAAGTCAGCTTTAATGTTGAAAAGCCTATAGCACTTCTAGTTTCACTGTATACGTTTACCAACTGTTTGACGTAAAACGTCTAAACAGAAATTTATGAAAACAGAAAGATTGAGCGAAGAAATTTATCAATTAGATCCTCATCTCTGGCTCTACTCTAATATATATAGCATTTTTATTACAATACACAACAGTTTACCAACCAAGTGGTGATATGTTTGTTAACAATAATCAGTCAGTGTCAAAATGTCAATGGGTTGGTAAGATACGAAGAAAATCAATACACATTTAAAAGGTATAAATTATTATTATTATTGTTCCCTTGGGTTCCTAGTGGAACATAGGGCTTCAACTACACGTCTCCACTTGTTTCTGTCTTCTGCTTTACTTTTCACCTGCATCCATGTTAGTCCAAACTGTTTCAGCTCCTCTTCACGCGATGGTTAGGAAAAATTAATTTTACAAGGATAACACGTAATTAAAGATGAAATAGAAAAATAAAGTAATTTTGACAATTATAATTTTTATAATTTTAAAGGTTTAGGGGAAGCGGGACGAAGTAGTCCGGTTTATACAGTCATGTAACGATGGCCAAGGCAAGGAAAGTGGCTGTACAAATTTCTTCTGAACACACAGGTTTGGCTTCTTCAGGTGAATTCCTATTGCTTCAGCTGTCTGTAGAAGACTAACTCGTAGAGCAAAATTAAGATTAGGGATTCGATAGATAATTTTAAATGCTGTATTAACATCAACCTTATGCTCACTGTCTACTGCAGTCAAACTGGTTAATAAGTGCATCATCTTTAATTACGTGTCATCCTTGTAAAATTAATTTATCCTAACCATTTATACCTTTTAAACGTGTATTGATTTTCTTCGTATCTTATCAACCCATTGACATTTTGACACTGACTAATTATTGTTAACAAACTTATCGCCACTTGATTGGTAAACTGTTGTGTATTGTAATAAAAATGCTATATATATTAGAGTAGAGCCAGAGATGAGGATTTGATTGAAAAGTAAATATTTCTTCGCTCAATCTTTCTGTTTTCTAAATGGGGGGTTTTTTCCAAATAGAAATTTATGAGTTCATCTTACGCTTCGTGGTAGTACACAAAAGGAAGAAAACAAACATGACTAAGGAATAAGGACGATCAGGTAGAAATGTTTAAGATTTCGAAGATTATGAAGAATAATTTTCCCTACTTCACTAGAAAATTTAAAACGATATTACCAAACAATCAGTGGTTCAAAAATTCCAATCAGTTGACCTTCACGTGAAATCACTGATTTTTAAGATGTAATATGATCGAGAACTGCGATTCCTATTTTGGCGGCTGTGTCATATCTGTTAATATATGGATAAAGTGGCTGGTGTACTCCACATTTCCATTTGGTCATAATGCGTCTATTATTTACTTAAAACTTAGTGCAACATGATCACCAAGAGATGCTCTGCACATAATAATTAACGAGGCAAAGATAGTTGAGTAACAATGGAATAAAGAGTAGGTAAGCATAATTGTCAAGAACAGTCGAAAGAGCATTGATTACCTAATATTACTTTCAGAAATAGAAGAAAACTAATGATATATTGGTCACTGATATTGATTCCAAGTAGTATCTCGTAACGTCTCAAGCCAAGTGAAATCACTGTTGAGGTCTTTGTCATGTTATCTCAGGTTTGCAAACCACTTTAATAGCTAGCAAACAGTGAATAATGTGGAAGCCTCCGAGGTAGCATTCGTAACACATATCTCAATATGACACTTACTGAAAGATAACCTTACCTCTGTTCAGAAACGTATAGTTCTACCTCCGAATGACTGACAGGATGAAACCGCCAAGTATAAGTAATTCTAAGGGGGAGAACAGTGATGGAACACATCCTGTGCTTGCAAAAGCGTGGTTTCACCAGTGTAGAGGAAGGATTCACACAATGATGTAACGCTGAACGTCGACAGCTAGTAAACACCGCAATAACTTTTAGGGTGGCCCAAATAAGTAATGTTAACAAATCTACCTGGTTGGGTTTTTTGACTACTTCTAGAGTATCACCTCAGGAAGTGGGGTAACGTGTCATCGACCATCTTGCAGCAACACTTTGTACTTGGATGTTGCACTGCCTTCACGTGGCGGAGGTGTTTTTCACCAAAGTGAGAGGGCGCTCTTCACCGGGTTGACTGTCCATTGGATGACAGTCTAGGGGAGATGGCTAAACCCTGATTCCAAACCTCCAACGACTGGCGTATGAATCTCACTGGACCTCACCGGCAGACGTATGGAAAAAGGGCTTGTTGGATGTCTGGCCCCATTCAAAAAGGCGTATGAACCGAACTCCGGTCACCGGCTGCCAATGGATAGTGGACTCCCTACTCCACTCCTACTGCCTTGTAGGTCACACATGGTTGTGTAAAGGCTAGAGCTGCACTCTCAAACAAAAGGCCGAGCGATTCTGAGGACATCACTCGTACCAAATTCCCATGAAACTTCATGAACTCTCTTCATCAGATCGCCGCGCCTGGGCAGCGATGATTCGAGATGTTCATGAAGCCGGCTCATCCTCCCGTAGGAGATAGCCGAAGTAAAGTAAGTAAGTCTACCACATAAGTGCGATTTTAGTTATTTGTATGGCTTTGCATAGTGAAATGACCTTGTCTTCATGCCCAAGGTTAGACCACACCTGTAGTAACAGGTATCTGTATGTCACGTTTAGGTATATGGCTTCCAGAAGGTTGGTAAGCTTTCCGGAGACTGCTGTGTCTAAACAATTCCAAAGAACTGTCCAAATGATTGAAAGTAGCCTTGCGGTCAAGAGGTACAAAACTAGTCCCCATGATGAAGTGATATATCACTGCCTCTCAGTTTATATTATTGGTCAGTATATACAAAATAAGGCTAAAGGAATAAGTGCAAACTGCTTAGTTACGAAGGTGGTTTCTTAGTTTTACACTGGTAGTGTCAGTAGCTCAATATGTACCCAGATAGTGAAATAAAAGTAGACAACTTGCGCTTTATTATTTTTTTGCACAACCATTACTATAAGTGTTGAGTAGTAAAGCAACACATACTCTCAGTATAACGTTACACTCACGTATCACATCAATGTTCAGTTAAAAACTATTTAGTAAATAAACGAACATTTATAAAGAGAAATCTGTCTTAGACAGTGTACTTCTGAATTATTTGGATAATAACAGCCATCACTATAGGCATAGAGAAGCCGAATCCAGTTCTTCAAAAGAAGTCCATGCAATCCCTGGATTTGATTTTGTATGTACCATTTGCTACTCTCATTTTCAGCCATCAGGTATTATTTCAGTCCGTTTATGCGCATATGTTGACCACATTTCTATCTTCCACATAACGCGACCATGTTCCAATTCATTTATTATTTTGGCCTCTAGGCCCTTTGTAATTATTACTTATTTCTCATCACACATATATTCGTGTCAAGCTGAAAAAAAACTATTTTCTTCCTTTAATTACCTAATGGAAACACCGTGAAAGTATCTTTGACGAACGTTTCTCTCTCTTATGTCGTGATAGGTATTATCCGTAGTTTTAAAAAGAAAATAACCCAGTCGACAAAATTCCGAATCCTGATTATTAGACTTGTTTAGCATACCAGTTGCATACTTATTCATTTCCCTAAAACTGGTATGCTAAGTTGACATAGAACCGGGTGGAAACTTAGTAGTGAGCAGACCAAAAATGGCATTTACCCACCAAGTCACGAACTGTTATTTTGACACACAAAGAAAGTGAACATTTCAAGACTTAGGATGAGAAATCCAGTCGTAGAGAACCTTACGGACGAGTTACAGATGTATTTACTCTTCACTGTGCACGTTTATCCTTATGTTCCTTACCGCATCTGTGTTTAGTAATAACACCTTTTACTTCAGTTTTCGGAATACAACAATTTGACTGAACTCCATTCTAAGAACAACCCCACACTGACCTACTGAAGTTCTCGGTACACAAGGTAATGTTCCTCATATCTTGGAAACACTTTCAAGTTAGGAGCGACCTGCACTCTTGGAGTCAAAGCCTTCAGTCATCCCGTTAAAAGTTTTGTTGGTTCAACCAATTTCTGATTCACCTAATAAATTCAATAATAAACTGTCGAGAATACTTTAAGCATCGTGAGCTGCAAATTGGAGTACTAGAGATACTCCGTTCTTATAAATACCAGTTCAGAAATTTCAAAAGCTGATCAGTTTCCTGTTGCAGTAACTCACCCGAAACGCAACTAATTACCACCAACATGAAACATTTACTTTAACCACTACTATGGGAAACTGCACGCTTACCAAGAGATAATGGTTTCGAAATGCATGGAACGAAAGTGTTCACTGTCTAACTACTAGTCCTATACTCTACATCACTGGTATCTAAATCCGAGATCTCATCAACCCTAGAAGATGGAGCTCAAGCTAAATATTGCTAGGTGTAAGCACTCAACCCACTACTTCAAAGAAGTACGTACAAATAGAACTCTAGTATAAAGTTTCAAACAATTTTTTGAGTGACGACAATATCTCTACCATTAATGTCGGATTGATAAAAGACACTCGTAATTAAAAGGAAGTCTTGAAAGAATGAAACATTTAATGATCACAAGTTAAGGTACGAAGCAAATAATGATAACCAAAATGTACACGTTGAGTGAATATAAGGGCAGAAATACTGAACAAAGGAAATCAAACAGTTGATTATGTGAATAATGACCAAAGCTACAGATGTGAAAACCTGCTAAATGTACAGTCGAAAGTTTGGTGGTTTTACAAACATTTGGCAAAATTTGCGAAGGCATTTCTTCACGTTTATCATTATTTTGCACACTACAACTGTGAATATTGATTAAAAAGAAATGACAGATGGATCTGAATAAACCGCACATTAACAAGATTTCCCTTATAACCACAGAGAACTCATGGAACCACCCATCTCACTCTGTTCTCGAACAAACACCTCGTAATACTGGTAGATTGTTGTGACAGCCATGAGGATACCTGTCCCACTTCCGATAGCACCTGAAAAGAAAAAAAAGGTTCTTTTAATGACTGACAGAAATTAGTACAGTACGTTGGTAACGAAATTTACACATATTTAATATACTAAGTATAAATATTTATTAAGACACGAGTGAAGTTCGGATTCGGCTGAGAACAACTGAGTTATCGTATGTCCCACTTATCAAGCACTCAAACATGAAGATGATGAAGCGAGGTCCCAAGACTAATTTACTATCAATCTGTAAGACTATGAGAGGTTTCACATTTTTATGCTAATATACAGTCGAGAATATAACATAAGGTATAATAAAATACAAAAAACCAGTTGACTTTCAAGAGATAAATTGTGCTTACGCATTCTTTTGAACGTCCTAAGGAATTTACACAACTTGATAGTAATTGCTCTTGCACTCTAAGATGACGGGACACCACTGGTTTACAACAACTCGTTGCTTAAGGATACGGAGTTGAAGACTGTGCAATTGAAAGGTTGCTACTGTCTTAATGGGAAGCTTGCTGGCGGACGCGAATCGCCAGTAAAATAAAGGTTGTTGCTTTTCGAAAAAAGTGTGAAAAGACCACAAGTTTTTGATAGTGAGTGGATCGGTTGGTTGCTCGAGTGGGGAACAGGAAGCAATTAGTTATTAGGAGAGACGATAATTAGCATATGTATTACGGATGACAAGGTATTGAGCTTTCCGATGAGCAATGTCAGTCGAGACAGGATTTGGTTGGAAAACTGTTAAGGATGATCAAATAAAACACGTATTCTATGACTGAATTCACATAGGGAAGTGAAAACTGCCCAGTTGGAGTCGCCGAAACGTTCAGAATCAATGACTGAAAAGGATTTTGGTGACCTGGTTCAAAATCGTCCTACACCATAAGCCAACTAACTTTTCCTGAACTCCAACATCCATTGGATTTTATCACTCTCATGTAATTATTCTGCCTTCCGTACATTTTAGTATGTTAGTTACTTTATTCTTTTCAGTTCTATGAAGCGTGACAATTTGCAGCACTGCACTTTTGTGCAGTTTTTTGTTAAAATTCAGTTTACTTCAGAGAATGTTAGACAGAGTTAATCAATGAGAATGTAAGTCATTACTGACTGGAACAATTAAACAGAATCTGTTAGCAAGACAGTTTACTGTATCAATCCTTTACTAAACTAGAGAATCATCGTCATTGTGATTTACTGGACACAAGCAATTAACTAATCAGAACTTTTATCTACGACAACCTTTTCATACACATTACAAGTCGCATGCTCTGATTTTGTTGGTTAGTAATCTCTCTCAAGGAAGTGACCTTTAAGAAAATGTGCGCATGCGGTCACATAGATGGTCAATACTGAATGAAAAGAAAAACCATCATCAAAAGTGAGTCGAAAAGGACTGCTACCTTATGTCTTTGATTTGAAACTAGGTCGTCGTTACCAAGGTCTCGTAACCAATGATTTTAAAATTTAATTCTACTGGTCTGCGAATACAGTTTTCATATATGCAGCTCCTCCATGAAACTTATCAACAAATTGGATCGGGAATGACTGCTTTGAGTACCGCTATCGAAACTCAAGGACATTGATAGACTTACTAATTAAGTCTGTGTGCAACAAGACATATTGTGTATGTCTGAAGCAGCTGGTTAACAGAATACTCATTATAGCAACAGAAAACGTACAACTGTATTACGTCTAATTATATGCTAAGCCGTAAGCACATTCCAAGTGCTAAAGAATAAGTGAATGCTTCGGAATCATGACAGCGTTCAGAAGTTAAGTCGCATATTATAGTAACTAGATTTGAAGAACAGCACTAGCACTCTCCTACATAAATACTCGTATGTAGCCTACAATTTACTGATTATTAATTAGAAATATCACACATTTGAATAAGTAAAATGAGTGCTTAACGAATTCTGAACGGTATCCATAATACCATGAGACCGTCTTAAAGTTTCTAGATACTGAAAGTTAGTCCGTATGTTGTATACATAATTTCAAATATCAATTACTAGCCTAAAATCAAAGATAATTTACAAAGTCTTCAATTTATTTTTAGAATTCGAGATATTAGGACTACGTACCCAGGAAATCCGCCAACACAGAAAGTGCACCAATGCATAGACCACCCAGGGCAGCTGCTGTCGGAATATATCGATTCAACTCATGGACCATTGAATTTTCTCGATGCCCCGGAACGAAAGTTTGCTGTTCTTTTAATTGCTTAACAACATCCTTGGCACTAGAGTTGGAAACATCGATCCATATTTTGCTGAAGAATGCACAGCTCCCAAGCATAAAAGCAATGTACAAAATACCATGTATTGGGTCAACAAGCATATCACCCAAAGAATCTGGAGGCGTCATATAGTAACACAATCCCCCAATGGGTACAGATCGAGAGCCTCCTTCACCATCAGACCATACACCCAACAAGTTGATCAAAAAATTACCACGAAATTTGCTGGCCAACATCTATACACAAAGAATAAGTGATAACAACTACTCACCTGTGACATAACATAAAGATTTGAAACAAGTGCACTCTGAAGCATAATTGGAGCATTACTTGTGTAGAAAAGTTTAATTGGGTAGGAGGTGGTCTGACCACGATAACGGATTGACTTGACTGCAATGTCGACTCTGAAACTCTAAAAACTGTTACAACTCTGTATTTATTTACTTGGAAATAGATAACAACTGCAAATACTAGAATTGTTGCGAGGATATTCATTAGATTGGGCAAATTTTGACGGTAAAAAGCCTCTCTTAATGCACGAACTTTATCTGTACGTGTCGCTAACAGATGGAACAATGATATGATTGCACCCTCAAATTCAGTACCTGAAAGTTGTAACTAATGTCAAAGTTCTTACCCCGACCGGTGTTGATGGTAGTTGGACTAATTGCTTTCCACACAATAGTTTCGCATATGTTGGTTGCGATAAACAATGAAATTCCAGATCCCAAACCATAGCCTTTCTGAAGAAGTTCATCTAACATCAAAACCAAGAGCCCTGCAAATGTCAGCTACAACACAATAATTAACAAATGTAACAACAAACTTGAAATATTATCAGCAGGCAAATCCCTGCGCCTAATTCGCTTGGCGCACCGTAAATCCCAGACATAACATATACAGAGGCTTGACCAACAGTTATAACCATGCCGAATACTGAAGGGTTAGCATTATATGCATCTTACATTTTTGTGCTCCATTGAATAAAGCTCTGTCTTTGGGGGCGTCACCAACAGACAACACCTGTATGCCAGCTAACAACTGCATAATTAATCCGGACGTTATAATAGGTGATATTCCCAATTCCATCAGTGTTCCTTTATTTGAAGCAGATATAACACGAAGCCAGTAAAGGGGGTCGGCAGATTCAGATGACATGATGCCGAAAAGTGGTATTTGACAGCAAAACAAAAAGATCATTAACGTTATTCCAGTCCATAATACTCGCTCTCTGAACTGTATCTTTCGCTCGGGACGGGAGATCTCCGGAAGAATAGCACAAAATGGCTTGACGATATCGAGAAATTTAACTAGACAGAGAAGTAATCAGTATTACAGAGAGTACCAACCTGTCATCGTCAACGCCACAATCACAATGCGTGGCGGTTAGTTTACGATGTGATACGATAAAACAAGTCCATCCAACATCCACATGTTATCCGGTGAAACAAAATTCAGGGCTTGAAAACTCTCGAATTTTTTATCTTTGTTCTTTTAGATAATTTATACAAAAAATACTTTTTTCTGCTTTTAAATGTTGACCTAAGGACTTCAGCGAAACAAAAGATACCTTTAGATTTTAATTTGGAGACATGTGAAAATGAACCTTGGGGAGTCTATTGCCATTTGAGTTGAGTTATTGCGTAGGGCTGGCAGAAAATGACATTACAGATACATCGGGGGATGCACATGTATGCTAACTATCAACAGCTAGGAAATTTCAGTAAGTTGATTGAAGTAAAATTCTTTATCATGTCTGCCCACTTAGATTTTTCACAAGGACCCATAGGCTTTGGTTAGGATAATCGCCATCCGGCTAACGTATGACATGTGGTGCACGAACTTCGATTGGTGCCATGGGTTTCTCTCTGTGTCATAGGAAATCCTTCATTCAGAATTCTCTACTTGATGGATCCCTTAAGATTTTTCCACCATTGCTTCCATACAGAACTCATTTATGATTGTCTAAAATGTGTTGAATCATCGAAACACCTTCCGGTGCTACGTTCTTACAGTCATGTCTCACTTTTGGTCAAATAAACATGACTTGCTGTGTGATTGCAGCGGGACTCATCCACCAATAGGTGCTAAGAGTAATAAAGCGGTAAGCGACAACCCACCAAGATAAAGCATATCACCATATTGCGTTGTAACAAGGACTTCCAATAAACCAACTGGATTTAAGCCTATAATAAGGCTATCGGCGATACTTACGCAAATTATCTATATCTGTTAGTATGACTCAGATCGCAGCATCGTGAGATACCGTGGAGTGGATTAGGTGGGCATAGGAGCATGCCTTTTCCCTTCTAGTATCCAATGTATGGTAGCGAATGCGACAAAAGGAAACGGGCCGAACATCACAAACTCACTGCAGTGGATCCTCTGATCAAAGTAGCGAGCACAAAGTCTTTAGTCCCATAGGGAGTAAAAGCGACTGTATCTATGAGTTTCATTCCTCACCGTTGATGAAAAAAGCTCCGAAACCATACTGAGTTTATGCAGAATCGCCTGATCGCCTGGTCCTGGTATAATAGTTCACTTTGTAATCTAAGCCCAAACTTGTAATGTGTAACATTTTATCTTAAACAAAGTACTGGTAGCACTGAAAGGAAATTCATATACAGAAGATTTTCTGAAAATAACCAATGTCAAAGAACTCGCCACCAAGCGAGACATCCCAGCACACTGTTACGAGCAAATCAGCGGCCGCAGATAACTTGCCAACGTCAGCTATTGGCCTAGGCGCTAGTGCACCTGAGGTTCAAGTGTATGAGAAAAGCTCTATTTCGGGAGTTCTCTGAGCATTTATATGGGGTGTAAGTATATTGATTGGTTTAGAAACCGACCGGTCTTCATTTGATCGTGTATGTCATGTGTTTTCTTCAATCACAAGATGAAGATTTGCAAGAATGGCTGTTTTAGAAGGTTAAAATATTCTAGTTACAATAACTGGACATGAATATCGTGCACGTGTACACCATTTATCATGGCTTCGAAGTAAATTAAGGAAACTGATGGGTGTGATATAAGGAATGTAAAGGTTGGCGACTCATTCATGGTAGTATAATTCTTTACCGGTACGAATTATTGGCCATTCGGGCTCGTGGAAGGGGTGCTGCCTAGTAAAGACGGTTTGGTTAGATAAGTGAAGGGGACAAAGACCAAGGGAGTACTGTTAAGGGAAATTAGCAGGGCCTGTCTTTTTCAAGCCAGCGATAATGGGGCTCATCGGGATATTATCTAGGCGTACTGGTGTGAGCCCTGGAAACCAAGTGCAGTGTAAAAAAGTTAAGTGTGTGTTTGTGTGTGTATTGTGCGAGGAATGTTCGCAAAGGTATAGAAAGTGCACCTGGTTTGTAAGTGAATTTTACTTCTCTTTTTGGAGTTTAGTGCGTGGGTGTGTTGTACACTCATTTACCTGGATGACTGAATAATATTAGAAATATTATTTCGTGGAATGCTTGGAAAAGAAACCGACGTTCTTTTAATAATAATAATATATTCTCATTTTTTTACATGAGGAACGCCAGTTACAGGCATCATCAATTCGATAAATTACACATACGATTTGTAAGTATAGTTAGTAATGATAATATAATAAGGTAAATATTTATTCATACAAATATAGGACACACAAGTTGCAAGGGAATGGATAAGTATTACTAAAGTTACATATTTAGATTACATGGATTACGGTTAAATAACATGGTTGTTGTCATTTTATCTTTAGTTTGTGGGAAAATCGGATAACTGGTGATTCAATGGAACACACCAACAAATATAGAGACATTGACTTCGCATTAACAAAAAAAACCCAAGTATGCGTTGGATGGATTACATATACTTGGGAAAATAAATAAAGCTTGAAGTCAATTCCCTCATAAAACAATAAAATGCTTCTTACAATAATATATTCCCAATTTATGCACTTGAGGGACTCCAGTTGACAGGCATCATCAATATCATAATAATGCACACATGGAGTAAAAATGTTTAAAATTTTTCACTAATACAAAATATATATACAAGGGAGGATAATGAAATACTGACCGTAATTACACTCTGCATAAGTTAAAACAGTTTATTGGACATAATCCTGGGCACAATTATTGTTTGAACTTGTTGAACATGAGCGTAACAACTGAGTGTTGCGTTACATTCGGTCGATATGGTGGGCTACTCACAAAGTATAAAAATGGCTTAAAAAACGTTAGTTAGTTTACCGTAAACGATGTTTTTGGGGAGAGTGTTACTGTGGGCCTCTACAACACAGTATTATATGCCCACTCAGATGTTGTAGGTGATTGAGGAACTCAGAAGGATGAAACAATCAGTCAAGTAGGATCTGTATCTCCTTTATGATCTTTAAGGCTTCCTTTATGTATTGAATGACGAATGCCCTTCCGTCTATTTGAACAGGTATGCTCTGCCTCACTTGCTTTGTCATGCTTCCAGAAATAAATGTTCACAAACGCCATTTGTCTCTTACCACATTACAGGTCACCGGTCGGTAATTTGAGTGATTATTTTCATAGAGAAGTGGGTTTCTAAATTACATCTAATATTTCAATCTTTAAACACAGAAGTTGCTCCTAATGTACCATTTTGCGCTTTGTGTTAATTAGATCGTTTATGCTCCACTGGAATGTTGTACGATTTTTGTTTGAATGCACATTTTTGCTAACTGCGAGTTATTCTGTGTTCAGCTATTGTGTTCATGGTGTTTCGATGCCAGATAACCTCATATTTCAAAGTTTTTGCCGTGCTTATTTGCTAAGGTTTATAAAATAGAAAACAAATTTGCAGTTCTTCAACGGTTTGCAGTCAATGTATTCTGTTTGGAAAAATTTGGCGTTGCTTTGGATTCAGTTAGGTTTATTTGCAAAAGTTTTGTTTTGGGTTTTGGCTGAAGACTGGGAGTCCGTTTCTTCAAAGCATTATTTGTGAATTTTTTGTTAGCACCACAGTGTATAACAAACATGCAAATGTGAGTTCCTTATAGCTGCCCAAGGGAACAAGTGAGAATTTCTTGAGTCGCAAACACTCCACGAATGTCCCTTCTCAGCATCAAAATGTCACCATTTAGTGTAGATGTATCACTTGATACTACGGGACTTGGAGTTTGAAGATGATTTGTCGCAGCTACACTAGCGTTCGTTTTGTTACGCAACTAATGCTTTTACTCAGTGATGTTTAAGTCAAATGCTGAAGGTTCTTTCATCCCTTTGGATAAAGCACTCCTGTTCATTTGCTGCCTAAATAGTGACGCATTTTCACCTACTGGAGATACATCGATATACAGGTGACCGCATTTCATCTTAAAGGTTTTGTGCACATTCTGGTGTCGCAAAATCACACTACCTGCCTTTTTCAACCACTGAGCAGATTGTTTGCTCTGTGACATCAGTAATGTTACTTTTCAACTAAAAGTAAACCGTTTATATTGGTCACTTTCTGCAGTTCTTCTGTTTCCGATTCACAATACAGAACGAATTTCTCAGGTCCATCAAGAACTTCCTTCACTCTGTAACTGTGACACTGAATCGAATCAACCGTGGTTCTTTCTGGTGGGGGAGTAATGTAGGAGATCAAAGAAGTTCGTACACCTAATCGAATATCAGTCATCACGCTTCCAGCAGGCTAAAGAGCCAGCAGGTATTGTGTCCCAGGTTCAGATCTAGCAGAATAGGTGGTTACAGAAGAATCTCGAGGGCTATTTCTAGTTGAGGCCAACCAGTAGCGAGCTTGCAGCCTTTTGAGCAGCCTAACTAACTAGTTTCCTTGGATCACACGAACAGATGCCAATTTATGTCGGAAACAAAAACCATCGACTCAAAATTTATGTAGCTTGAGACTTCCGAACGGACAGCATCTGATGAGTATGAAAATGGCCAGAATATTCAAGTAGACTTTTGACAGACAAACATCACACGGATATATACCACTTTAAGGCGGAGGAACTGCTTTCCTTAATCACCTTTCCAAAGTGCAATAGGCTTGTCACTGATGATGAACATTAGGTGGATGTTTGACCGACTTTTTATCCAAACCAGTTTCTCCCTTGTTGGATGCAACAATCCGCGTCGTAGCTTGGATTCTGCCGGTTGACAGAGGACAGTACAATACGGTCAGAAGTGTCAGCATGTCACATACTGATGTTGTTTGTAAAATTTTTAGTGTATTGATAGTGACCAACTTTGAGTTTCATGGTTACGTCTATGTGTGACTAACTTGTTATAATGGCTTGTACTGGGTTGATCGATAAATCTTCGACTTGTCCGTCTTTCAATACCGGTTGCGTCGAAATTGAGTTGGTCATCATACACGCAAAATAGTGTTCTGATTTCCGAGGAGTTGCTTTTTGGCTGCAGTAAATTTTCCTGGTGCCATTACTGACAACTCCTGTGCTAGATAAACCCACAATCGTGG